CCGGCGGAGCATTACAACTCCGCGTCTCGGCCGGAACAAAATCTGGCGCATTCATCCGGTTCTTCTCGACGAGCAACAGAATGCGCGTTGCGACGCACGACGCGATGCCGGCGATTAAGATTGGTTTAACGAGCAACCGTGATAATGTTTAGAATCTTTTTAAGTTGCATTCCGATTCAAACGAGGAGGCTCGAGGATCTGATGACGAGAATCGAGAAATCCGGGGACTTCGAGAATTTGGAGATATTGTTCTGGGGGGGGGGGGGAAACAGCAACCCATTTTGGGGCCCATAATTAGTAATCGAATAATTTGGATTGTTCGTAACACTCTACTCTGGGAAAAATTTTTACCGTTTTCTTTCTCTCTACCGTTAGTGTCTCTTAAGTGAAAATTATCTTCGTGTTACTGAATATCGACAGAAGTAATTGAGACAATTGATTAGTGTTACTTTAAAATCGTGGATATAGATAGAATAGCTAATTGCGATTTTTAGTTACGCGGGTTAAAATTTGTAAAAGATTAGAGTGTCACGAACAATCCAAATAATTCGATTACTAATTGTGGGCCCCAAAATGGGTTGCTGTCTTTTTTTTCCCAGAGTAAAATCTGTAGTTTAAGGGCCGGTTGGTTCCAACCCCTTGGTATGGTAGTTAAATCATATATGTGTATGTCCTTGTTTTTCCTTCAAATTAGATAAAGATAAACGTATAATTTAACCGGTTAGCTCACCAAGGGGCTGGAAAAACCGGCCCTAAGTCCCCGTGAACCCCCGAATTTTGCAGGCTGCAACAATTTGATAGACACCCAGATCTTCATCGCCGCATTCACGGATCCTCGATCGATCGATCGGAAGTAGATTAAGTACTGACTGACAAACGCATAATACGATACAATGGAGTCACTGTAAAATTTATTGAGTTTCCAGACGGGTGACTGGAAATTCTCGTTCGCGACGAGTCAAGCTCCGATGAATGGCGTGCCAGTATAATCGCAAAGGCGGAAACTTCTCCCTGAGACATTCGAGCGCGGACAAGTCGATGCCGGGACTTTTGTCGGAAATGGGAAAGGCTTGTTTTTCGAAGTGGCACCGCGAAAGGCTTCTACGAAAGGCGCCTCTTCGATGACTATTGTCCGTTTCCGACGACTTAATTCTGCCGGCGAGGAACAGTCGATTCCGGCGCGGCTTATCGCCTCGATGAATGTGGAACCTAAGTGGATTTCTTAATTATTTAGCGCGCCTTCTAAAGGGATCTTCGCGCGGAGTTTTGGCAGGCATAGAAAAGTCGAGAAGTTCGACGATCACCGCAGTTCTGTGTCGCGCAAAATTTATTTCGTCAAAGACATTTGTCCCGATATTCTGAAAGCTTTAGGAGAACCGCTCTATTAGAAATACAAAGAATCGAGGGGTTGAGGGGGAAAGGAGTATTGTAAAACAGCGATTGAAGAACTAGGAAGGTATTAATGCAGAGAGAAAGTAGGCGAAGTGGAATAGAGAAATTGTGAGAATGAAAATTAGATGAAATACGGTGTTTTCCAACCGAAATCAATTATATTTTCGGGCCAATAGATGTATGCGTGCAGTTAGTCGAGCTTCATTTATGTTAAAAAATTGTTTAGAGATTCGAGACTACGCTTCTAACATATTTTGTCTCTGAACTTTATTTTCGCGGTTATTAATTCTTAGAAACCGTTCGCGATTATTAATTCTCCCGCAGAGAAGTCATGTTATTTGTTGTTTGGAGCATATTAAATTTTCAAACAACCTCATTTGCAACGCGTATGTTTTAATTAAATTTTGTACGCTATAATGGCATCGTCTCTCCGTAAATTGCCTCGATTAACCGCGCTTTTTCCATGCGATCGGTCGTCATGTATTTATTCGCAGGGACGGAAAATGCAATACTATTGCTCTGTGCGCCGAGCTCCTTCGTTTTTCAGTCGATTTCAAAGGACACGACAAAGGCTTCCGGTTTTCCCTTCAGACGCAACCGTGGCGTTTCAAACGCACCGAAAAGGGTTCTTGCGCGCTCGTATTCCTGATGTCGTTTCCCCGCCCCCTCTCTCAATCACTGAAACTAATTTAATTAACTAATCACTGCCGGTTCAGGTATTACGCGCGTGGAAACCTATCCAGCTTCATTTGAAACGCCCTCAATAAGAGAAATGCAACACGATCAAAGACATATATACATAAGCGAGTAGATCACAGCCACGTTGTATCTAATTCTGATCTAATCTGGATAAATAAAATAAAGATAATAATGTCGTTTCATGCATTTTTGCAAATGCAGACTAAGTTATACATAAACGCACCAAGAGAGCTGTTACGGAATTATTATTCCCTTCTCTGATATTATTCGCATTTAATATAGTTATTGTGTTATCCTATTCTATTAATTTTGTGGGTTCTAGCTACTATCTCAAATAGAATTTAGTGAACGCAAATGGCAAATAACGACCGACGTACAAACCTGCTATGAAATAAACAGGCATTTTCGGTGTAGGATTTTCTATTGTTAATTTATGGTTTGTCGCAGAGATAATATTTAGTTGCGTGATTTGTATAACATATAAGATATGTCAGCGTTCCACGTACGGACATCAGATCAGATAGGTTGTCCGACGTTTTACGATAAGTTTTCGGAATATTCGTCTGCATTGTTGCACAGTTATTCGTCATCAGGGGGAAACGGCTGACCAAAATCTTGTATACCAATGCCCTCTAATGCCCAGTGGGCATTACTTTATGTTTTATCTTATTTTTATATTACCTCAGCAAGACCTAATGCTCAAACTAATGCCCAAAAAATATCTAGTAGTGCCTAGTAATGCCGCTTATCGTAATTTGTACGCCACAATGAAAACTTATCGTAATTTGTACACCACAATGCCCTCAGCGGTCTCCCCTCGTTCATACGTATCGTTCCTTTGCTCTAATAATGTGTCACACACATATCCGTGAGCAAAAGCTATCTCGAGTAGAAATAAAATCATGCATGCCTTATGTATGGTCAGGGCCCGATAGGGAGGGAGTAAGGAATGCCCTAATAAGGAATCCCTGCTCTCTAAAATTTGTGGAGTAAAAATACTGCCATGGAGTGAAATGTTTACTCCAGTGGAGTTAATATTCACTCTGTTGGAGGAAATACATCTTACAATAAGGATAGAATGCAGAGAAAAGGACTGAAGTCCTTTCAACGCCACTTTGGTGGTCATTTTCTGATATCAGCAAGCAAATACAAAGGATTGCGACTGCAACGTTGGTGAACATCCTTCATAAATATATTACGTCTAAAATATATTGCACCTCAGAGTGAGCATTGTTTTCACTTTTGGCTAGCACAGTGCAGCTCGATATTTGTCAGCATGACAGAAGCAGAGCAAAGTTTGAATGCATTGGTATTCATTAAAAAAAAAACTGGCGAAAGTGAATTGGTTAACCCTTTACACGACCGAGATCGCAGTAGCAGGTATACTTGTAACTGAGGTCGGTCATCGCTTTTCAGTTGAATTGCACTGTCGCAATTGTTAAACTTGAATGTTTTAAAATAAAATATTTAAGGATAGTATTTAATTAGAACTCATAACTTTCCGCTTCGTTTTTTTTGCTGCAATCATATGCATATGTTGCAAGTGAAGTTGAGATAAAATCGATTTATTAGCCTGTAAATATTCCTATTTTTTTAAATTCTACACGATTAATAATTAATAGCAATCGCAATTAATTATCTAATTGAATAGTGATTGTCTGATAGAAAAAGCTTTTTATTGTTATAGTCATGTAATACTATTACATAAAGACATGTAATGCTATTGTTTAATAGAAGAAGATTATTAGTGATTAAGATATCGTACGAGGAAGGTTAATACTAAAGCACAAAGGTGATTAAATAATTAAATTAATAATTTTTTAAATATAATGCAATAAATATAATAAATAATTTTTTAAACGTCCTTTTTTATTAACAAAAATGGTCAAAATCATCGTTCATAAAATGTACTATATACATGTGCGTACTGTTAATTTTCTCTCTCACAAATTACTGTATTTTAAACATTATAATTGGTAAAGGTCGCCATAGTAATATTTGTAATTTAATATTTCCCTTTAAATGGATACTGGAGTGATTCTGCACCTTGTGTACCTTTTGCTCCTGGAACTGCCAATTCATTTGTATATGTTAAACCTATAACTTATTCGAATGAATAGATTTTTCTTGTTAAACTTCTAAACTGAATTTCAATGATACCACGCTGTTCTCTGATCCGATTAGTGGGAACTTGTCGGTCTGTACACAAAAGTTACATGATTTGTATATTACACAAATGTTTTCATGAATTGGCAGTCTTAGCAAAAGGTATGAACAGTGCAGCATCACTCCAACATTCCTTTAATAATGTCTCGATGATTCTCGGCAGTTGTAGTAGACAATTTCAAAAGAATATTGAACAAACATCTAGTAAAGAATAAATGTGGTATGTTATGCATTAGAGCTTGAATAGCCTGAATAGGTCTGCTCTCAATTGCTTTCCCTTGCCATTTATGAGCCTGAAAACATCTTTTCCAAAGAAAAGAAACTCTTGATCCTTTTGAAAAAAGCTGAGAAATAGATTGTCAAGTAAAAGTCAAGTGATTTTGAAAATGGTTTAAAAGATCTAAATATCTTCTGTCATAACATAAGAATCACTAAAGGAAAGTGAAACTTATTCTTTACCCGAAAGTGTACGATGGCACCTCCAACCTTATCTAATCTAATCTAATGTAATCTAACCTAACCGCGACCAATCGTGTGACTGTTTGACCGATCAACCGACATGACCATTCAGAGTAACTACCTGTTGCGAACAAATAGAATAAATGCATTTTTCTGCATAATTAATAATTATAAATATTTATACTTAATTATAATATATTAATAGAATAATTACATATATGTACATATATTATACATATAAACACAAATATTAATATTTATATTTTACACAAATTATACATATTATACATGTATTTCAAATGTATATATGTACACAAATCTATTTTATATCTATTTTTGTATGTACACATATCTGATAATCACCATACTATCTGTCGAGGGCGAATAGAACGGGTTATAAGCTGAATAGGAAAAACCTTTACTGCTGTAATAACAAATGAAAAATTAATTACTTAATTAATTGCTCTCTTGTTATTGTTAATTGATAAAGATCTTCAAATAAGTGAGCATTCGCGTAATTCAGTGACAAGAGGTCAGCGTTTATGGTTGCTACACACGCGGCGAGGCATGGGGAGAAGCGTTCGGTAACGCGTGATACTGGACCTCCGTGGCTATCTTTTCTTGCTGAATCGCGCGGTCGCGTGCTGATTGGCGAGTTTTTACTAATTAATTTCTTACTATTTATTGGCATAATCGCAATACAGTAAAAACTCTATTTTCTGTTCAGTTTAACATACCTTATCCACCCTTTATATATGCTGTATTTATACAACACATTAAATACTTATTAAATATAAGTATATACAATTATTATCATGTTTGTTGATCGATCGTATAATTTTTAATAAATCGAGAATTAAAAATATATTGTTTTGTACAAATATGTGTACTATATCGTTATGAGAAGATACAATACGACCGACGTCGTATTAGATTGAAATAATTTTGTGTTTTAATTTTCGTGTTTGTATAGTTGTACCTCTTTATAATTCGTAAGTTCAATAACCGTACTACCAAATATTGCTTATCGCAGGTACATGATAGCTCGCATCATATCTTGTAATGATGGCAATTCTATCGTGAAAACGCCGCCTGAAACAGCAAGCATTAATATACATTTATTTTTCCAGTTTGGAATTTCAAATTTTAGGTTATTATAAATTATTGAATTATATTAAAATTTTATATGATATATCTATACATGTTGAATACATATATCATGATATTAATTACATGTACGCTGGCAATATTAAAAATAAAAAAATTAATTTCTATACCAGAACTGAATAATATTTGCAGAGTAAAATTGAAGAGGAAATATGGCGTTTTAAAAGAAATGTATATAAATGTAAGAGACCAAAATAAAGTTTAGGGGATGCTGGAGTGTATGTAAGTGTAAATACCTAAATAAAGTTTTTCTGGTAAAGTGGACATGGTCTAATTAATCTCTCTCAAAATTGCTATTTACATGCTATTCACATTTCGTTGTTCCTGCTTGATAAAATTAAATATTATATAATTAATGTATGTGGACAATGTTATTTTTATTAACAACGCTTTTTCTTTATATTTCTCACGTTCGATCAAAAGTTACACCCTTGTTCCTAAGTCAAAAGTGCATTCGCGATTAAGTAACATTATTTGGAAACATGGGACATTGCGGAGGGTTAGGTGGCTATTCATCACGAACCATCCTTTACAATAAAACCCATTGGGCAAGACAAAACGAATCCGGGCCTAAATGATTCCATTGTTCTGTCGCATTAATATGCTAATTCAATTATCCACTTCGTTAACGGCGAGACGGCCTTGCCGACAGATATCTTAAAAACTATCAGTTAAGTCTGAATCAGTGGAGGCTAGAAAGCATGTTCTTTTTTTTACAAATTGACTTGAAAATAATAAGCAACGTTACAAATCCTTTTTTATATTTGTTTTTTTACGCTTTCTCTCCTTTAATTATTTTATATAATTATGTAAAAGTTACGTTTCCTATATATACAGAGACTACGTAACAAAAAAAATGTAAGGGATATTTTGTATATATTTATATAAAAATTTTTTTCTTCGGATTTCTTTAACGGAATCTTTAGAATGAACTATCTTAATAGTAAATTGCCTGCCAATACTTGCTTGAAAATCGAATTTGTATGATAACCTGCGTATGAATTTTAGGTGGAAATATATTATTTTGCAGCAAAAGAACAGAAGCAACATTATAAATAAATTGCACACCACATTTCTGGTAAAACGAAAATCCACAAATAATAAGGATTGGAGTTAAACGAAATCTGTTTTCGGTGAAATAATTTTTCAGTCTTTTTTCGGATACTTTGGATCGCTCGAGAAAAATCGTAAATACGCGAAGTATATAAAAATATGTTATTGCTCATTATCTTCTCACCGAATCATATCTGTGAAACCAGTCGGGATCCAATGTGGAGGGTGTCAGTAACCCAGTGGATGGCATCGATTCGTTGGTATCGTAAGTGTTAACGTTGGTCCTGCTCGCGGCAGACCCAGGCGCGGAAGGAAGCATCAGTTGGGAATGGAGACTGTTGGTTCCCAATGTAGGATGGCCGGTTGGGAAGAGCGAGTTCAGGTGACGTTGCGCCAATGTCGTTGGATTACCAACCGTCGATGACATTGAATAGAGGTGATACAAGTTGTTGACGTCCAAGGACGCGTTGTTGTTGCCGTTGTCAGTGGAGACCGTCGACGGCACCGTGGACGATGCGCTCGGGCTCATCGCCTTAAAATGGACGGACCCGTGATACGGATTGTAGACCATGGCAGAAGGATTGACGAGCTGCGTAGCGTAAACCGACGATAGCGAGAAGTTGCTGCCGTGTCTCGGAATCATGTACATAGACTGATCCGTCGAGGCCGACATCACCTTGGGCTTTCTTCGTGGTCGATACTTGTAATTCGGATAGTCCTTCTGATGCTGGCTGCGCAGACACTTGGCCTGCTCGAGGTAAGGAACTTTGTCCTCCTGGCTGAGTTCCTTCCACATCGTGCCGAGCATCTTCGAGATCTCCGAATTGTGCATCTTCGGGTGCTCCTGCGAGATCTCCTTCCGTTTCTGACGGGCCCACACCATAAACGCATTCATGGGCCTCTTAATGTGTTCTTCCCGCGGTGCAGGTGTCGGTCGCCTGGTACCACTCGTGTCATCCATGACATCGGATGACGTTTTATTGGAATACGGATAATACATCGAGTGTATATGAGACGAGAACAAGTCTAATCCGTAATTCTGGCCAGCGTCTGAATTTGAACTGAATGCCGAACATGGATTGTACGGTATTTGTTGCTGATTTAATATATACTTAGTCATCTCCAGTCGACACAAATCGTCTCTAACGAATAGATCTTAAACGATTGGTCGATACAGCTGTTTACAAACAGACGCTCACTGAATCTATACAGTACAATCGATCGCCTACCGACAACGTATCGGTATGCGAAATTCACAGTTCGCTAGATATGGATATTTCAATTTACGAGCCGGTCGTTTTCAATTTATTTACAGTACGTCCAAACTCACTTTCTCGCACTAACTGGCTAATGTTACTTAATATCCAAGAGGTTTCTTCTTAAAGCAATCAATTTTAAATAGAATTAAAATTTAACAAGACAATTTTCTTCAAATAACTCGAATCATATCACAGATTAGTATCGTCTTACTTGTTAATTTTTTCTTCGTTCAGTATTGCACATATTCAGGAGAATAATCTTCGGCTGCGTGACTCTTCCTGGTTGCTTCGTCGAAAATGCAGTGTTTCCGTTTCTTCTCTTCTTAACTGGATTTCTCAATTCCACGGGACACAATATACCATCAGGAAATTCATAATTTTTTGTTTTCAATTTTCGTCAATACACCGTAGTGAAACCGATATTTTCTTCACTTGTTAAAATTATTGGAAACGATAGTAGATCAGCTTTTTCTTGATTATTGTTCCATCACCAAGACACTGTGCAGTGGCCAAACGCTACACCTCTTCCTCCTGTCTGTACTTCGATATTCGGGCTCATCGCGAGTTCGGTTGACTTAGTACCAGATGCTGAATTATACTGAGAGCTGCCTTGCGTGCCTGACAGCTGACTCATTGTCCCGCGACTGTCCTTCTCGAGCGTCTCTTCCCTCTCCGTTGCGTCCGTTGTGAGCCCCACGCGCGACCCACGTTTATGGGCGTAGCTTTGCCGGTCGTGTTCGAAGGTCGACCGGCTGATCCGCCGACCACCCATCGACCGGCCCCTCGTGCACTATTGGTCGTCGGATCCCCGCTTTCGTGCAACTCCGCTGCGCTTCGTCCCACTTCGTCACCCCCTGTGTCACCCTACTTTGCAGCTTGCGACGGAGCGGAGCGGGCCACTTCGGCGCGATATACCGCGCGGACTGCAATTATTATTATCGATTACCTCGATACGACGAAGTACAAATAGCGCATAGACCGGCCGTTATTGACTGGCTCCGTTCGCGTACCGTCGCGACCGCGGGGTTACGTTGCAATAATTGCAATTAAAAAGATGATCAGGGTAAAGTTTTCCTCGCAATCCTTATCGTCGCTCGAGATATGTAATAGCACTTCGTTTAATCTCACTTACAGCGGGTTCTCTCCATGTTAACCAACAGTAACACTCAATCGTACTAGAATCGTCGTTCTCGTCTTGTATCTTGACGATGATGAACTGAAAGCCTCCGATTGCCAGTTCAATACTGCCATTGCACTCTGAAATCTTGGTGCTTTTATCTGTGATTACGCTCCCTTCTCTTTTTCAATTTTTCGGTATCGCCGTCGGGCGATCTTTCCCTATCCGTATATGGTAAGAGCAGCACGTACCGAATGAGAGAGAAGTGGGGGATGAAGTTCTTTCAAAAATCCTTTAGTTTTTACTACCTGCTAGAAACTACGCCTCCTTATCTCCTCTACTTTTTGGAGATCGCCGTTGGTCAGTCTCTCCCTCTTTGTGGCACGTGGCGAATGAGAGAAGTAGGGGATGCAGTTTTCTTCAGGATCTTTTGTTATTTTCTGCCCGCTGGTTTCGTTTCTTCGAACAGTAACTATGGCATTTCATTCTTAAATCACTTGGTCCCGTTGTCTGTCGACTACGCTTTTCTTTTCTAATTTTTCGGGATCGCCGCTGGTCAGTTTTTCCCTCTTTGTATGAGAGTGGTGCGTGGCGAATCAGAGAAGTGTGGGATGCAGTTTTATCAAAAATTTTTTTGGGTTTTACTGCCCGCTAGGTGGTCTTGTTTTTTTTTAACAGTAGCTATGCCATTTCATTCTTAAATCACTTGGACCCTTAGCCTGTGACTACGCTCCCACTTAATTTTTGGGGATCTCTGTTGTTCAGCTTTTCTTGTTTCCTTTTTTGCCATTATCTATGCGACCTTCCAAGGTTTCACACTACTGACCTACTAAGTTTCAAGCGGTAACAGTTGAAGACCATTTGGTGTCGGAAATGTGAAGATTATTTCTTACTGTATACCGACGCAACTCTATCCTAATCTTAACTAGAAGATAAAGAAGATGCAGAAGGGAGTACAACTGCATTCCATATATGTGTACGATAAAAATTTATAGCGTGTGTTTTATAATTCGTGCTCATTGATTAGATTTATGAATGGCAGAGTGTTGTTATTTCTGTATAAGAAAAAGTGTTGAATCATTTTTTAAAACGGCGCTGATGGACTTTATTTAAAAATATCTTCTTAAATTAGACTTCGAAAATTTCGGACTTTTCGACTTTTCACTAAAGAATAACGTTATGTAATTGGTGAACGCAAATTAAACATCGTGTGTATAGTGGATTATTTTAATATTTATCGTTTCAATTACTGGTTTTGTTTCAGAAAAAGATATTTTAAACCGAAGTTTTAGGGAGTAATATGCGCGCAGCAAATTTCTTACAGTTAATAAAATTGCTAACGATATCAATTTATAATTCTCTCGATTAAAGAACACGTTTATGAAGCAGTGTGTTAAAGTGATATTTGCGCAGTCTCGTACATAGGCAAACGTAAAATGATCGAGCGAGCGTTTGGCGTTGTTTTCTTATCGCGCAGCCCCCCTTTACGCCGTCTTTTCGTCGTCAACGAGTAATCAATCGGGAGTCTGCTCTAGAGCGAGTTTCGACCCTATTTAGTTTACGCGTACACACGCGCGCATACACACAGAAGCGAGAAGAAGAGGAGTGGAGAGGAGGAGAGCGACAGCTTCCGTGAAACAATACCAGGCGAAATCTGACGGTTACCCTCCTATGGGAAATCTGCGGGTACAATGCAAAAAATCCTCTCGACGACAGGGCACTTGGATTAGAATGAAAAGCGGCGAAAGGAGAGAGCGCCTGCTCCCTTTTCCCAATCTCGAATTGCCCCTCCGTCGTCCTGACCCATCCTCTTCGCCTTCCTGGTTCCCGGAGGACATTCAGTGATGCAAACGAATAGACGCAATAGTTCGCTCCTTCTTTCTCTCTCTTCCTCGGTGATATTAGTTGCTTTGTGTATTCTTGTGTATTACGATTATTTTTCAACGTTTTTCCTCGCTGCCACGATCAAACACGTTCGTCTCTCTCCTCGAATTATTGTGCGATAGCGTATCATCTTAGCGAATCTTAATTGGTTTTACTGAAAATTCTGTCCTACAACATATTGTACAATTCTTGTTTGATAAAACATCTTAATGTTCGAGTAAACACGCGTGAATAAAGCACGCAGAAACTGAACGAGAAGAAGAATATAATTCAACTGTCTTGTTTGCAGGCGCGTACAGTGTCTTGACTTTGCTATTTATCACTGATACTCGAATAATCTTGTGGTAACCGATCGGGTTAATAAATCTACACGTAACTGTTTATCATAAATTTATCCTACCGGAGTTTAGAGTCAAAAGAATAACGAGTTCACTTCGAAAGCGATAAAATTATAACGCAAAATTATACATATGTTGAAACGGCGGGATCTTTTATGGGGCCCACTGTCGCGAAATATTTCCCGAAAACATCCATCACTTCATCATCGATCTCGGTACGATTGAACAAAAAAAAGAATCCAGGAAAGCAAGCCCCGTCAGCTAATAATTTATTATCTCGCCAGGGTGCGCCACCCCGAAAAACAAAACCCACCCTCGTCGCGGCGTCGACAAAAGGTGGCGGAAGGAAAAACGAGGAGCACGTCTCTTCCGTCGCGGAAAAAATCCGGCGACGTGGTCGCCATTCCGTCGGCCTCTCCGCGAATACCTCGTGCGAGCACACAAATACACCCGTATACATGTATATACATACATCTGCGTGTACACACATTCTTGCCCGTATGCAGTCGGGTGCAAATTGGTATTGAAAAATCTCGAAGTCAATTAAAACTCGAGGCACAAAGGATTCGGCGAGACAAAATACCAATTATCTCATGTCCTCGCCGTCGTCCGCCACCCCCATCCCCGCGTTCCCTTCTTTCCCTGCCCGGTCGACGAGGAGGAGGAGGAGGAGGAGGTGGTGGTGAAGGTGGTGGTGGAGAACGAGGAGGAGAGAGGGGCGGCTCTTTCCCTTGCAAGAACTCAATTCCATTAGGCATTGAAGTGAGTAAAACGAGGATGGGCATCTATATAACGCACTCGCATCTCGCTTATCTACCTAATAAAGGTTTCTCTCGCCCCCTCCCCCAACCCCTCAGGCTTCTTCCACTCTTGCGGCACCCCCGCAGTATAAAGCGTACCCGTGAGGTGTCTGCGAGACAATCCCTTGGGATGACAATGCTTATCCCACGTATGAATGCTTCCTAGGTAATTTAAGTATAGCCCGCCCGATATTGTCCTTCCTTCTCTCTCCGCGCCCCTCCCCCTTTCCGCGTGGCTCCGCGTTCGTGTCCGTCCATGAAAATTCGCTGTCCTTGCGTTAATGATCGCTCCTCCATTCTCTAGATTTAAATCCAAAAGACTCGCGGAGATACAAAATCCAGAATATCCCATTTAATGAGCGATTTTAACGCAATTGCAAATTTTGCTACTCATTGATCGGAAGATTAAGGTGTTGAAATAAGCTGCGCGGTTCCACGCACATCTGCACTCTAAAAATCAATCGGTGACTCACTGTTTTTAATGATAATCCACTGATTGGCTTTTAGAGAGCAGCATTTGAATAAATTCGCGAGATTGTTAAAGATTTGGCTGCAAACTCCGGGATTCTATCGCGACAATTTGAGGGGCTTTTAATGACTCAGGATGATTCCGCTTAGACGGCAATTAGGATACAGCTAATTAATAACACTCCCGGCGTAACGGCGAAACGTCTTTCGCATACAGGCGGAGCGTGTAATTCGGATGCGCGGGGATTATCCACGCAGCGCTCCCGACATTGATCCTGCAAATTAAGTTGGTTGCTCGACCGACGGGGCGAGATGTCAAACCGGCAGGAACTGCTGGAAGCTTTGTCCTGCGAGCTCGCAGCAGGTGAAGCGCCGCATTTGGCTGATTATGGGCGATCGCGAAGGCGTGTGGGAGCAGACGGATAAAGCTCCATTCGCAATGACGAGAGACTGTCGGCGCACAACTTCCAGTGTCGCGAGAGATCTAGAGATTATCTAGGGCTAAACGTTTGCGAGTATTTCGAAACGCTTATAAAAATCTGCAAATGACCGAAAACTGCGGTTCCAAAATCGTTCGGTGGTTCGAACGATCGTATCATTGTAACAGTATCGTCCAGTTAATATCTGTAATTATATTTATTCATAGTTTAATAAACTGTCCCTTCTTAGGACTCTAGAAATCTAGAATAAAAAAATACTTAACGATAGATTTTCCTAACTGTTTGTCACAGTTAATTGAAATTACAAGCTTGTCGAGCTCGCTCGTTGGGAACGCAGCTTAACCGGGGTTAGGCAAGATAGGGAGAGTAAGGGCACGGGTTCAGGAGAGGCCCGTGCGAGATCAACGGGTGCGCAACGGAGAGGGAGAGAGAGAGAGAGAGAGCGGAGGAGAGAAATCCGGATCCATCGCGGTGCCGCGTCGCCACCCCCGAAGAGTACGCACGAACGCGTTGCGTAATTAGCGACTGCCTCCCCGGCTTCGTGGGTGGGTGGGTTGTATCCAGCGGCGGAGTTCGGACGAAGAGAGAGAAAGAGGAAGG